AATCACTACATTACGAATATCGATACCAGTGCTAATAATAACAAGAGGACCAATGTCGATACCAGGGCTAACATCACAAGAGGATCAAAGTCAATACAAGGGTTTGTATTACAAGATGATGTTCTATGTCAATATTAGGGCCTATATCACATTTACCATTAGAAGTGGATCAATGTTGATCACAGGGTTAATATTAGAAGAGGATTGATATTGATTACAGAGTTAAGAACAGGGTAAATATCAGAGGATCAAAGTTGCTATCAGGTTTGATATCACAGGAGGACCAACATCAATGTCAGGGCTAATATTGGAGGATGATCAAGGTCGATATCAGGGTTAATATCAGAAGAAAATCAATATCATCATCAGGGTTCATAGTGCAGGAACAAAATGTCGACATCAGAGAAAATTTCAGCAGAGGATCAAGATCAATGTCAGGCTTAATATCAGAGGAAGATCACGTCAATACCAGGGCTAATTCCGGAGGAGAATTAATGTCGATATCACAGTTCAAATCACGAGAGGATCAAAGCTGGCATCAGGGTTAACATCAGAAGAAGATCAATGTCAATATCAGGGTTCATATCAGACAAGAAGATCAATGTGTATATCAGGGTTAATTTCACAGGATGATTACTGTCACCATCAGCATTAATTCTGAATTAGTATTAATGTCTATATCAGGGTTAATTTCAGAGGGTTAATTTCAGAAGATAATCAATGTTGCCACTGGGGTAATATCGTTGAGGATCATTGACGACATCAGGGTTAATTCCAGAGAGGTATTAACGTGGTTATCGGGGTTCAATCACAAGAGGATCAACATCAAAATCAGAGCTAATATTGAAGCAGAATCATTGTTAACCATGGAGTTAATACTGCAGGATTATCAATATCTATTTCAGGATTTTTGTTGGTGAAGAATCAAAGGAGGATTACTGTCAATATCAGGGTTACTGTCAGAGGGGTCTCAGTGTTTATATTTGGGTTATTGTTGCAGCAGGGTCAATATCAATTTCTGGTTTAAAATTGCAGCAGCATCAATGTGGATATCGGGGTTAATATCAGAGGAGGATCAATGTCAATAGCATGTTTAATATCAGAGGAGTACCAATATCGATATCAGGATTAATATTGGAGAATGGTCAAACTCAATTTCAGGGTTAATATTGCAACAGAATCAATGTCAATATCTAGGTTAATATCAGAGAAGGATCAATGTTGATATCTGGATTACTTCCAGACGAGGCTCGGTGTCCATATTTGGATTAATGTTGGAGAAGAGTCAAAATTAATTTCAGGGTTAATATTGCAGGAGAATCAATTTTGACATAAAAATTAAAGAACTGTAGATGCTGGAAATCAGAAATTGCTGGAAAAACTCAACAGGTCTGGCATCTGTGGAGAGAAAGCAGAGTTAAACTCTCAGGTCCAGTGATCCTTCTTCAGGACCCTTCTTCAATTCTGCAGGAGGATCAATATTTACATGAGGGGTAATATCGGAGCTGTGTCAATATCAATCATAGGGTTAATATCACTGTAGGTGTTAATATCACAAGAAAACCAACGTCAATATAAGGGGTAATATCAAAGGAGGAGCAATGTCAGTACCAGGGTTATTATCGTGCAGGATCGTTGTCAAAATTAGGGTTATTACCGCACCTATTTATGGTAACATTAGTGTTATTTATGACAGAGAAATATAGTTAAGGAAGTAATGTAATTTTAAAAGATGGTGAAACAATCAGGAAAGTGCAATGCTTGCATTCTGGAATACTCCTCACATCAGTAGGAATTGGCAGAGACTCTGGCAATTTTCCAGTCATCTTGGGATCTAGATCTAATGCCTAAGGACTCTATTTTTTAGGGATAAAAATGATTTGAAAGCAATCAGTTGGATAATATAGACCAAACATTTGTTGTGGGTTTGCTGCTAGATTTCATAATACATGATAAAAATTAAGACTCACCTGGAAACATCCGGGATAATTTGGACGGTGTGTATGCTTAGAAGACGTCATGTTGGGGGGAGTTCAAGATAGGGTGAAGGGAATTGATAAAGGGCATGCAGTATCTGTTTGGTGCACTGATATCAAACACACAAACAATAAAATGTCACATAGGAAGCTTGTTGACTAAATTAAGAATACTGGGAGACGGGGTAGATTAAACCATAACATTGCAGATCAGTGATAAGTGTCTGATTCACAATGTCAGCACATGGTAGCAATTTGAAAATTGCCTCAAAAGGTATAATTTGGGACTGAGGCAGCATGGATAAAAATTGGCTCAAGGACAGAAAACAGATTACTATTAAGAATATTTTACTGAACTGAAGGCATGCCTTGGTGTCCACTAGTGGTCAGTGTAGTATGGATTCCTCTCGGTATACATATATGACTTGGATTTAGAGGGACACAATGTTAAAATGCATAGACAACACAAAAACTGGCAGCATTCAAATTAATTGTGAAGATTGGCGGTTATTGACTCCACGAGGATGTACACTGGTTTGTAGATTTGATAAAATTTAGATGTCAGAAAATGTGAAGTTGCACATATTGGATAGAATAATAGAGAAAGAATTTATGCTAACTGGTAACATTTTAAGGGAGTCAAGACTGATTTCAGGTACATAAATGTAAAATTTTATAAATGGGCGATGGAGTACAAAGAGATCATTCTATATCTATACAGATCACTGATTAGGCCATGAGAATATGTAGTTTTGGAAACGCAATGTTCAGAAGGATGTCAAGTCCACAGGCACAGTGCAGAAGAGATTCATGAAGATGATAACGAGATTGAAAGCCTTTAGCTATTAGGACAGACTAAAAACTTAGGGCTGTTTTCACTAGAACAGATGAAACTACAAACAAGTTTGATAAAGGCAGTTGATAAGGTAAAGTAAAAAAAAAACTATTTCAACTGGCAATTGCATTAGTTAATAGAGGGCAAAAAATTAAGCTACTCACCAAAACAGTAAGGGAGAGATCATGAAATTTAAAAGTACTGGCAGAGACAAGATGGGTTAATTGGCCTCCTACAATTATGCAATTTTTTTTCTATTTCTGAATGATATCAGTACCAGCATAAACATTGACATTTTTATCAATTTTCAAGACAGCTCATGACCACCTTCTCCAGTGCACTTAAGTGGTAATAAATGCTGGCCTAGTCAGTGTCACCCACATCCCATGAACAAATAAAAATAAGAATTTCAGGATAACGGATAAATGTTCATATTACTAAAGGGGGTATAGTAGCATAAAGGTTATGTTACTGGAGAGCTTGATTGATTAAATAAAATCTGGAACAAAAATCCAGTATCAGCAATGATGACTACGCAACAACTGGATTGTCGCAAAAACCCACCTGGTTTACTAACATCTTTGGAAAAAGGAATCTGCTGTCTTTACCCAGTCTGGCCCATATGCAGCTCCAGATCCACAGCAATGTGGTTGCCTCTCAACTGCCCTCTGAAATGGCATCGCAATCCATTCAGATGGATTCAGAAAGGAGTCTCATCATCACCATCGCGTGAGCAAACAATGACGGGCAATGAATGCTGGCCTTACCAGGATGCCTACATCTCATGAGTGAAGTAATAAAAGAGGGCAATTATTCCATCTGCATCAATGCCAGTTCTTTACTGGAAATGCACAACATGAATTTCTGTGTAATTAACAGGTGATTATAAAATAGCATTGTCGTAATTGTTAGATTTGCATCAATTCCAATGCCAGGGCATTATTTGAACTGTACACATACAGTACTGAGGTAATTATTGGATCTGTACTAGCGCCAGTATTGAAGTAACTATTTGATCAGCTGAAATGCAACTATCCAGGTATTTACTACAACTGAATAAATGCCAGTTTTGTTATAATTATTGAACCTGTATCAATGCCAGTCTCGGAGTTATTTTCTATCAGCTCTCTTTACTGGCAGACAAATGTTTCTGATAAAGCAGAAATACAGAGGGCTTGGAGAAAGTCATACACAGACAAGATCAATATCCCCTTTCTGTGTCAGCCTGCAAACATGCATCAGCAGTGAAGGGAAATACACAGCGGTACTGGACTTCAAAATGCCTTCCTGATAAAATCACTAATAGTTTTTTTTCTCTAAAAATTAAAAAAAATTGATAAGTTTTTCTTTGTTGAGCAATTCAAAAACAGTAATGCATGTATTCTGATCCCAAGTTTTATGACCAAATCATTTCACCTAAAGGCTTGGCCCCCTGTGACATCCGATGAGGCACTCATTTGATCCCTGGCCTCTGGCACGTTTACCAAAGAAAACTCCGAGAAGTCTGAGCTGCCTTGTCGGATTCTTAAGTTCACCTGTCCACCAGTACTGTTGTTAAACGACGGAGTCATTTCTCCTCCAGCAGCCGAGAACCTAGAGTCTTGACCAAATGTGTCCATTTGGTGATTGTGGTGTGCTGGCGGTTCCTCTCGCTTCTTCTGTGTATTAACCTGCTCTATGAAATCAGGAGGTGCAGAGATGCTGTTGCTGCTTGTTACAGTTGGTATGAAAGCAAAAGGATGCTGGGATTCACCAGTTAATAAACTGTACTGAGTCTTTTGTGATGGTATCCTCAAAGGGGCACCCACTTCAGGTCTGAAGCCATGCTGGGTGACCATGGTTGCAAAAACCTGTCGTTCTAGAGTAGAAAACAGAGGCTGCACTGGAAGGCTTCCAGTTAGGGGGTGAGTTTCAGTCTCATATGCAAGTCCTTGCTCGGCCGAGTAGCTATCATTGTGGCAAGTCCTTTCCAAAGCTTGCTGGAGGAACTTTGAATACTCATGGAGCATGTTACAGTTGTCGGTGACTGCTGGCTGGGAACTCTCGACTCGCTCAGATGGTGGCACATTAGTAATGTCCGTAGAGCTCACGGTTATATTTGAGGAGACTTGGGTATCACTGACAGAAAACGGAACCTGCCCATTTGCCTTGTTGGTGTAGTGATCCAACAGCGTCTGCAAAACTTCGTCAGGAATCCCACTTTTGTCCTGACTGCTTTTCGGATCAGTGTTACTGGGTTGCACCAGCATAGGTGTGCTACCACTGGTGTCCCCAACAGGTGTGTTGGCTGCCTGTGTTACAGCTGGCTGGATTGGGATCTGGCCTACAGTTAAGGCATACTCTCTGCTGGTGCTGCTAGTCCCTTGCAAAAATCGCTTCTTCTTTACAAACTGCATTGCATCATCATAGTTGCTGTTGCCTCCTGGTTTGCGTGAAGCATCTTGGCCCTGGTCAGCACCAGGCCCCTCCATTGTCAGAAGATCAGGGTTGTCTACCATAGCATAGGTATATTTGTTGACTTTTGTGGCATCAAAATTGCCAGAAACAGGCAAGGTCTGAGCCAATTCTTCCGTTGTCTTTTGATTTTTCTTTGGGCTTACCTTCTTCAGAACAAGCTTTGTTGGAAGCAGGTTCATTTGATTCTGATATGCTTCCCCAAGGTGATCATTATTCTGTGAAGAATGTGCGACCACAAGTGAGCACTGCTCCACTTTATATTCATCCTTCACCTTCAAGTTGCTGGTGTAATATTCTACACATTCACCCTTATCCATCTTACCCTCTGCTGGGTTACCAGTCTCCTCTTTATCAAGGGTTGCCAATGCTGACTTCTCTGCAGTTTTGACTTTTTTCCTTGGATTAATGATGTCTTTTTGAGGTGACAGGAAACTGTTTTCTGCATTGATTGCGAGTATAATTGGCTCGGTTTTCATAGCTGGGTTTTTGCCAGGAGCTTTCCCTTGATTTTCGTGGCACATTCTTCTGTGTTTAAGCAAACGATCAGTTCTAGAAAAATACTGCAAGGAAACGCATTAGAAAGAATTAATAAGTCATTATTGCTTACTAGTTTATGATTAAAGCAATAATGGACAAGAAGGTGTGTTTTGATTTTGGCTGGTTAGAACGTTAAAGACAGATTTGACATGAGGCAAAGTGAAAAACTGCAACATGTCCTTAACTCTATAAAGTTTCACACCTTTCAACAATGACATTGATTGTGGTACGGTGCACTTTTGAATTTATTGTCAACTGTTTATGATTCCACTTTATAGCTGATGTGAAACAATGAAATTCTGAAATGAAATAAAACTACGGGCTGAATTTAATGTTCCTCCGAGTGGGAGATAGATGGCAGTAATGGATAGGATGCCTGTTTTACGCCCCACCCACCCAGTTCTTTTAAAACTAGGCATGCTGTCAATTTTCTTCTTACAAATCAATCGCTATAACCTTTTGACTTTAAGCTTCCAGCAGAGTCTCATCCATTGTCAAACTTGAACATGTGTGGCATAAAATAGCCAGACAATGGTAAATCAAATGCACCTGAATTTGACTTAATTTAGAAATCTCCTTTCTGATAGCACAGTGTTGAAAAATTATAACTAGTGTGAATCACAGCATGCTAGAAAACTGGGGGTAGAATTTTATTCCTTATTGGGGTGAGTTTGGAAGTGGTGGGGGGGAGGCATTATATTAGATTGGAGGGTAGTGGGAGCTCTGCCATCTTTCCACTTTACACCTTGAATTAAATCCAAACTAGCAAAGTCCACAGAGGGCTTTCCTGCCCCACTGCCAACCGAACACCTTAAGTGGGCAATTAGTGCCATTGGTTGTTGGAGGTATTCCCTCATTCAAAGGTATTCAGTGCCTAATTGAGGGTCCCTGTATTAGGATGTTGTCAGGAACTTTTGAGAGAGCATGGTCTCACTAAGAGGCACCCATCCCTATCAATGCTGCACAAAAGCCCTCCCACCATCACTCACCTACGTATCTGGGTCCAGCCGAGGTCTTGGATGAGTGTAGTACCAGCAACAGCCAACATTAGCACTATTGTGCAAAATAGATGACCACTTTTGAGAAGTTAGCCTGAGGGGCCTAGATTCCAGGACACACCACTGGCCTCTCAAGTGCTTGAGTGGGACTTAGTTTGGCAGATGTTCCCAAAAAGAGGCTATGCAGGGCTCACATTGGCACTCAAGGTGGCAGGTAATACAACCAATGCCGCACGTGTTGCTTAGAGGGGTTTTGTAAGTAACTGGATCATATGGATCACAAGTTTCTATGGTCTTATCTCAATTCTGTAACCAGTTACCTGGTTTGAGCTCTAGCACAGGCGATACAATGATTTGTGTTGACCTCAGTGCCGCTTGATTGGGGTGGGAAGAGGAAAAAAATGATTCTCCAATCCTAATCTTGTTATGTCTCCAGTGACTGCTGCTGGAAACTACAGACTAATATCAATTTTATTTCACTGATTGACATCACCTTGGAATCAAAGCTCCATGCATCACAAATGTACCGGGTGCAAATCACATCTAAATAGCCCGACATACTTTCAAGTAAAATGTCCATTTTCAAGTCATGCAAATACAAAGTTGCCTATATCATGGTAATACACAGCTCACTGTGTACAGCACATATTGCATTGTGGCAGAGTATGAAGCATTAAACAGCCTCCAAGGTTGCCCTTGTACAATGGGTTCCAATGCAATACATATGCTCTCTTTGCCTTAAGACCATACTTGCATATTGAGCTTTGTTTAAAATTAGACATGTACTGAAGAAAAGATATTCTTGTTATTTTTGAAATACATAACATTTTCTAATTTAAGTGAAATCAAAATACTACAAAGGTCAGAAACAAACAGAAAACGGCAGAAAAACTCGGCAGGTCTGGCAGCATATGTGGAGAGAGAAACAGAGTTGATGCTTCAAGTCCAGTATGACTATTCTTCAGAGCTCTTTCTTATTCACCTTGCCTGGAGCAAGAATCAGCAGTTGCTGCCGACCTGAATGCATTCAAGTTTGGAAAAATGAGAACAACAATTCAGACTGTGACATTACAGGAATGCCAAGAGTTGATTGGCTGGTGAGTACTGCAGCTTTGCTTTCCCATCTCTAAAGTTAGGGAGCTAGCCCAAAGAGCTGAGAAATTAAACATTTCAACTTGTTTAGAAGAAGGGTCAAATAAAATATTCAATTAACTTACCCATATTTAAGTGACATCGATGGAATGGAACTGATAATCTGATGAGTGTTTTCTTTTTTAGAAGAAAGGTATGAAGGCTTATTACCTAATAGAGTAACAGCAGGGTAACTCCAACCTCTCCAGTAAACAATGTGCTTTGTGGGAATTCCAAGAACATTCCTGTGACCTGGATAGCCATATGTGCAGGAAGTGTCATCAAATGGGTAGATGGTGGTGTAGTGATAATGTTACTGGACTAGTAATCCAGAACATTAGGCTACCATTCTGTAGACATGGGTTTGAATTCCACCACTCCAGATGGTGAAATCTGAATTCAATAAAATCTGAATTAAAAGCTAGTCCAATGGTGACCATATATGAACTGCTGTAAAAACCCACCTGATTTATTGATGCCCTTTAGGGAGGAAAATCTGCCTGATCTGGCCTAGACATGATTGCTGACTACGATAATAGAGTTAACTCTTAACAATTAGGAATAGGCAATAAATGCTGGCCTTGCCAATGACGCCCACGTCCAATGAACTATTAAAATAAGATTTAGCCGATGTCAGTTAAGCACATCCATAATGAGGAGAGCATCGTGGCTAGCATGTTTATGAATGTGGTGACCCCACAGCTACAGGTAGTGCCTGAGGATTGAAGAAATACAAACGCTACACTTTTGTTCAAAAAAGGGTGTAGAGATAAGCCCAGCAACTACATGTCAGTCAGTTTAAATCTCTCAGTGGTGAAGCACTTAGAAACAATAATTTGGGACAAAATTAACAGTCACTTGGGCAAATATGGGTTAATTAAGGAAACCCAGCAGAGATTTAAGGGGACATCATATCCAACTAACTTGCTCGAGTTTTTTGATGAGGTGACAGAGAAGGTTGATCAGGGCAATCATGGTGTAATGGTGTAATGGTGTATATGGACTTTCAGAAGGCCACACACAAACATGTAAGCAAAGTCAGTGCTCAAGGAATAGAAGTGACAATAGTAACATGGATACAAAATTGATTGAGTGTGAGGAAACAGAAGATGATGGTAAATGGTTGTTTTTCAGACTGCGGAAAGCTTTAGAGTGGAGTTCTCCAGGGGTCATTGTAGGGTCCCTTAATCATCTTGATACATATGAAATAACCCAGATCTTACTGTACAGGATACAGTTTTAAGATTTTCAAATCCTATAAAATATGGAAGTATTTTGAACCAAGAGGAGGTCACTACAGAAGTTCAAAGGGGCACTGACAAGTTAGCAGAATAGGCAGACAAGTACCAAACGGAGTGCAGGGAAGCATGAAGTGATTCATTTTGGTAGGAAGAATGCAGTGACAATAGAAAACAAATGTTACAATTCTAAAGGGGCACAGAAGCATTACAGACGGTGCAGAAAAGATTCATTGGGATGAGGAACTTCAGTTACGTGGACAGATTGGAGAAGTTGGGACTGTTCTCCTTGGAGTAGAGAAGGCTGAGAGGAGATTTGATTTTGGAGGGATCTGGACAGAGCGGATAGGAAGAAACTGTTCTGATTGGTAGAAGGATTGAGAGCCAAGCATGTACTATTAAGTTAATTGACAAAAAAGGTATGGAGACTTGAGGAAAAACTTTTTCATGCAGCAAGTGGTCAGGAGCTAGCTGCACTACCTGAGAGCGTGTTGGATGCAAGTTTAACTGAAGCATTCAAGAGGGAATTCAAATTTCAATTTGCGAAGAATGTGTAGGACTATGGGGAGAAGCCTGGGGAGTGGCTCTGGGTGAATTACTCCTTCATAGAGCCAGCACAGAAACTATGGGCTGAATGGCCTCATTCTGTGCTGTAATCATTCTATAATTTGACACACCATCTCTCCAACACATACTTATGGGTTCAAACAGTTCAGGTACACAACTGTTAGGATGTTCAATACAGCTAGGACATAATTATTCACCAAAAGCCTTTGGTTTGAGTGCCATATAACAGAACTACATTTAACAGTGCTCCCCAATTGCTATTTTGATCATAGCCATGCAGTAAGGAAGGCCAGTGGCAACCCTACCTGAGAAATGTGTGGCTAAACAACAGCGAAAGGAAAATGAATGGGGAAGGACAATGAACCAGTTTGTATCCTTGAAGTGACAGTGATGAATAAGTCAATTATATTTAACATGGTCAACTTTCAGAGATAATATTTTATAAGACGCAAGCATTATCGTCACTGTAATACAATTCTGCAGGTTCATGTCACACTTCTCCTGTTAAAGTAACTATAAGGTAGTATTCTTATTGTTAGTAAAGTGAAATACCTGTGGGCAGCATTCATTTTGTTCCTGTAACACAGGAGATACAGGCACAGTCACAATGTATTTTAATACATTCTGCAGTATTAGCAATACTCCTTTGATACAATAACTGTAGGAAAATTTACAATGATTCTGTGACACAGTACTGCAAAGACTGTTCAGACTACTTCTGCAATACAGGGACTCTGCTCCTGTAATCTGGTACTACAAGGATTATTCACACAACTCCAATAATAGAGGGCCTATAGACAGCAGACACATTGCTTCTTTAAGATAACACCAAGTGCATCATTCATTTTGTTGTAGAATACGCTATCCTTAGAAAATATTCTCAACGTAATTGAAATATAGTGTTAATTGGAGTATTTACGTTGCTCCTTTAATGAAGGATGCAGAGGCATTATTCGCATTGCTGTTGTAGTTTGTTCGGAAGTAGTAAGTAGTATTTGTACAGTTTCTGTAACACAGGCCCTTTAGGTAATACTTGCAATGTGTCAATGATATTGTAATGTCATGCAAAATAGAAAAAATATTCAGACTGAACTGCAAAGGCAGTACTTGAATCTGCACTGTTGATCTATAGGACCTTTGGGCAATAGTTGCTATGCTGCTGTCAGTCATTTGATAAAACTTGCATTTCTGCTGTTACACAGAATTGTTCAGCAATGTAAGCATTACTGCTATAATACTGTACCTTCAGGCAATACGTGCTTTACTGCTGCAACACTGGAGCTTGAGGCAAAATTTGCATTGCTGCTGTAATTCTGCAGCTTTGGGTAACATTGGACCTTTAAGGAACACTTATTTCACTGCTATACCATAGGATATTTGGGCATTACTTGCATTGCTCTTGTAATACTGCACCTCTTGACAATATTTGCATTGGTGTTTTAATACAGAAGCTTTTAGCAGTAATTATAATGCTGTTGCAAAGCAGTACCTCTGGACAGTATATTCACGCTGCTGTGAAACTGTTCCTTGGGACAATACTTACATTTCTGCTGCAATACGGTAGCATTTAGCAATATTTGCAGTGCTGCCAAAAATCTGTACCTTTGGTGATATCTGCATTACAACTGCAGTACAGAACCATGTTGCAATATTTTAGTTGCTGCTGCAGTACAGGAGCTTTGGACAATATTTACATTGCTGCTGTACTACTGTACCACATGGCAATACTTCCATTGCTGCTATACTACTGTCCCATTTGTCATTGTTTTCATTTCAGCTGTAATACAGAACTAATTTGTAATATTTTCATTGCTGCTGAATATAGGAGATTTGGATAGTATTTGCATTGCTGCAGGAGGATGGTACGTTTGGGTACTGTATGCATTGCTGATGTAACACCTTTTGCAATATTTGCATTAATGGTGCAATAAAGGCCCTTTCAGTAATATTTGCATTTTTGCTGTAATGCAGAACTTTCTGGCAATATTTGCATTGCTGTTGGAATATAAAACCATTTGACAGTATTTGCGCTAATGCTACACATCAATATTTTCATTGCTGCAGTTATATTGTACCTTTGAGTAATATTTGCTTTGATGCGGTAATACAAGGTATTTTGGCAACGTTTGCACTGCTGCTGTAATATGGGAGCTTACGGCAATAATTGCATTTATGATGTTGTGAGAAAAGACCTTCTGTTTTTGCATTGCTGCAGTATTATAGACCCATTCAGCAATATTTGCATTGTTGCTATTGTAAGGCACATTTGGGCAATATTTGCACTGCTGCTGTTAAACAGAACCATTTGTAAATTTTTTTTTAGCAATATTTGCATTACTACTGTAATACTGTATTACTGGATAATATTTGCATTGCTGCTATAATGCTGTATTGTTAGATAATATTTGCATTGCTGCTCCAATACAGAACCTTTCTGCAATTTTTGTATTGCTGCTGTAAAACAGAATCTTCTGGCAATATTCGCATTTCTGTTCTGATGCATGATCTTTGGACAATAGTTACGTTGCTCATTGTAAGACAGAACCCTTGGACTTTTTTGCTACCGTATTTCCTTCAGGAAATGTGTGCATTGCAGATGCAATACTGAACATTTTTCATTGTTGTTTTATTACAAGCTCCACGGGCAACATTTGCATTATTACTGAAGTACAGATCCCAGAAGCAATATGTGCACTGCTCCTGCAATACAGAAGCATTAAGCATCTTTCATACTGTTTCTGTTGTAGTTTATGAACATAGTGTTCACATGACACCTCTAATACAAGCTCCTGTAATACAGGACCTGTGGGTGCCATTTCATTGCTCATGATACAGGATCTGTCAGTGATGTTTACATTGCTCTTGTAAAACAGGACCTCAGTGTGCTATTTGCATTGCTCCTGCAGTACAGGATCTGTGCATTCTATTTGCATTGCTCCTACAATGTAAGACTCATAGGTGATATCCAAAATGCATGTAATACTATATTTGAGCAGTTCTGATATTTTTGTCTTGCAATACAATTTGTTCAGGCAGCTTTCATCTCCCTCTTCTAATGCAATGTTGTTAGGCTGTACTCCGAGCTCCTGTAATACAACACTCTAAGCTGCTTCTATATAATACTGTAGCCACGTTAGTGTAACACAGAAACTTTTTGCAACATGAATACTGCACCATAGCCTAGTAGCTTGAGGCAGTACTCATACTGCTCATTGCTTATACACTAAATTGCTACTGCTCTTGTAATGAAGTATGTTTGTAATGAAGTACACTGATCCTTAAAGGCAGTATTCACATTGCTGCAATAATGCGAGGCCTACAGGCATTGCCTAATGTATTGTTTACAACTTCTGCAAGAGAACAGATAGCAGCAGTACTCTCATTGCAGCTGCAGTTATGACAGGAACTCCATTCATTTACCTATTTACCATCCCCTCAGGACAGCCCAAGCACTCCAGGAATTAATACTGAGGTTCAATAACTGTTACGATGATAAAAATAGAAGCTTATTATAGCACAGCAGGGCTGCATGGACAACAAATGAAATAACTGATTAATGAATCTGCTCTTGGTGGGGTTGATTGAGGGAGAAATATATACAATGGGAGAACCTCCACACCGTTCATGAAGTACACCATTGACTTTTCTACTGTTCACCTGGGAAAGCAGGCATTTAGTGTTGCATCAGAAAGTACCACCAGTTGACAATGTAACAAAAGCCTTAGTGCTGCATTGAAGTGGCAGTCCAGGTTAAGAAATTGACTTCCTAGACTCTCAAACTTCTCACACAGACAACAGCATTATCAACTAAATCCCGCTCACTATAGGGTTAGGCGGCATTAATGCTGCATCCTGCTCCTGCAGTTTCCTCTGGTGACCCCATGATCTATGATCTATTCGTGGCCCTCTCCTATTTTGCACCCATATGCTGCCCGAGTGAGGGCATCTAAAGGCACAGTATTAGTTTGCACATGCATGCTGACAACACCAAGCTCTAACTTACCATCATCACAACTCTTTATTTGACTGCTTATCAGACACCCAGTATTGCATGAGCAGAGACAACAAGGTGCAGGGCTGGATAAACACAGCAGGCCAAGCTGCATCATAGGAGCAGAGAGGCTGACGTTTCGGGCCTAGACCAGAAATGTCTTTCAATTAAATATTAGGAAGATTGAAGCCATTGTTTTCAGCCCTCACTCCAAACCCTGTTCCTGAGCTCCCAACTCTATCCCTCTTCTTAGCAATAGTCTGAGATTAAGCCAGTCTGTTCACAATCTTGGTGCCATATTTGATCCCAACCTCCACTGCTGAGTTGGGAGTGACTTTGGGGCATATCCCCATCATGTTAGTTAATGCAAAAGTACCTTTCTTAAGTTTGATGTATAGGTTACCTGTTGATTAACATTTAAATCTACTTTAGTTTTAGTTTGTGTTACAGCAAAAGCCTTAACAATTTAAAAAAAAAAAGTCTCTCAGTTTGTTTCCATTGGCTATGAAGGGGAAATTCATCTAACAAAGGTATTGATCTCTATGATTCTATGGAGGTCTCAACAATGAACATATCCCTATAATAGAGTCCCTTATAATCAGTATTAACACTTTCTGTAATACAGCAACTTGTACTCAGTATTAACATAGTTCCTGTAACACAAAAGCTTATAATCAATATTAGCACTGTTTTTGCGATTCTAATGGTCATGGTCTGTATTCAGGTTGCTCCTGAAATAGTTATTGCAGTTGGTAGTAATGCTGCTCCTGTAATACAGTACCTGTAGGCAGTATTCACACTGGTATGGTTTCTCCCCACTGTGTGTCCGTTTGTGTCGTTCCATGTGGTACTTCTGAATAAACCTCATGTCACACTCATCACAATGGAATGGCTTCTCACCTGTGAAATCAAAGAAAGAACCTTCTAATAAAATGCTTCTTTGTGATGTACAAGAGCTTGTGATCTAAAATAGCTTCTGACATAAGCTATGAATCTCTGTTCCAACTTTGCTTCTCTTCGATTGTTTTAACAACCACATAAATGGCTGGGAATATGCCCAACTTTGCAGCACATCAAATGGTAAACTTCTCTGCCCCTTTCTGGACATGATAACTCTTGCAGGGGTGCTGTTGCCAAGGCAGTATGTGCCTTTCAATACTAGCAGCAATTCTTCATGGGTGAGCCTGGGCTAAGACTGCTGGCAAAACATTCATTTACGTGTGCCATTGCCACAGAGCCCAATGCATACATTGCATGAACCTCACCAAGGTTCATGCCTTTCAGCATATCATGGCCAGGAACTCTAGTTGATTGTCAATCTGAGAAATCAAAGCCAACTGTAGCTCTTAAATGTTGTGCAGCTGAGATCATTTTTGAGGCAGAGATGGATAGGTTCCTGATAAGCAAGCGGCTGAAAGATTATCAGGGTAGGTGGAAGTAATCAGGTCAATTATGATCTTATCGAATGGTGCAGCAGGCACACGAGACCGAGTGGCCAACTCTTGCTCTTTATGTATGTATCAGTTAGTTGAGAACAGACCAAAAATCAAACCTTGGGCCTTCTTGGTCTGTATAGCTAGCCCAGTTATAATTGTTTTTAAATCAACCTGTTCAGGCACGTAATGACACACTTCTGGGGCAGGTGGGACTTGAACCCAAGCCTTGTGGCCCAGAGTTAGGGACACTACCAGTGAGCCACAAGGGGCACCTCAAGCTCAGTTATATACTAATTTTACAGACTTGACTACTGAAAGCTCACAAAATAGACATTAAAGAAAGGGTCAAAACTCCAGATTCTGGGTATATTACATTGTGCTATGCCAAGTCATTCACTGAGGCAACGTCATACTAAACAGTAAAGAAATTACAATACCACAGTGAGTATTTGATGTATATTATATGGCAGAAGTGAGGGCTTGACGGTGAATGCACCAGTAACATCACATTAAGGCTGACACATTAGTAGGGTCATAGTGATTCTTGAGGAAGATGGTTGTCAAAGTAAGTGTACCAGTATCACAGTACTTGGCTTGGTATGGTACAATGTAAAAGGGAGGTGTCAGTACATTACATTCAGTGGACTGGTATATTGAACTACCACAGTGAGGAAATCATGAAATTAATGAAGTAATGAGGAACAAGTACATTTCCTTGTCTAAGAACTTAGTACACTACAGTGACACAATGCAATGTCTAGTTGATTAGCATCACCAAGGGGCTAATATGTTACAATATCACAATAAGAATCCCTGGATATTGCAATGTTTGTTCCTTGTATGCATCAATGCGACGGTATTTCATAGATGAACAGCAGGGAAATGGCACACAACTTTGTTACAGAAAGGGCCCAGTGTATTAGTGTTGTAATAAAAATCTGGTACATTAAAGTGGCCTACTGAAAGGATGACATACTGAGAGTGCCAATTTGATCTCAGTGGAGTTAAGGTCCTTCTATACTGATGTGTAGGCAAGGAAATATAGCAAAACTTATATAAAACAGTGGTTAGGCTTCAGCTGGAGCACTATGTCCAATTCTGGGCAGCACACTTTATAGCAAGATGTTGAAGAGGGTATAGTGATAAGGATCTTCAGTTGTGTGGAGAAGCTGGGGTAGTTCCAGGAAGACCATAAGATATAGGAGCAGAAGCTCATGGAGTCTACCCCGCCATTCGATAAGATCATAGCTACTCTGAAAATCTTCAATTCCACTTTCCTGGCTTTTCTCCACAACCCTTGATTCCCTTACAGATTAAAAGATCTGTCTATCTCAGCCTTGAATATACTTAACGACCCAGCCTCTACATCACTCTGCGGTAAAGAATTCCAAAGTTTCCTCCTCATCGCTGTCTTAAATGGACAATCTCTTAATCTGAGATTATGCCCTCTGGTCCTGGACTCTTCCACAAGGGGAAGTAACCTTTCCGCACCTACCTAAGAATCTTATATGTTTCAATCAGGTCACCTCTCATTCTTCTAAACTCCAATGGGTACTGGCCCAATCTACGCAACCTCTCCTTGTAAGACAGTCCCTCCATAACTGGTACCAGGCTAGTGAACCCTCTCTGGATTCCCTGAGATGACCTCTGCTACTTTCAAAAGTGAGCATCACACTGAGAGGCCCTTTGTATTAAAATCAACAAGTGGGCATTGCATATTACAGAGACATTTGATGAAAGATTGTTTGTCACAACTTGCATTTGTATAACATCTTTAACATAGAAAAATGTCCCAAAGCATTTACAGTGACATAATCAGACAAAAATAGACACCAAAACACTGGAGAACTTCTTGAGAAGGGTGACAAAATGCAACCTTTTTGACCAAGGTTTCTAACTACATTCTTAAAAGTAGAAGGAGGATAGGAAAAGGTGGAGAGACTGAGGGAGAAAATTCCAGAGCAGAAGTCAAGATGGAGCAAAGTGGCTAGGATGCACTGGAGCAGGAGAAATACAAAATTTAGTAGTGGTGGCTTGTGGGGATGGAGGGAAGAGCAGGAATTATAGCAGTAGGGAGGAACATGGTCACGTGGATACTTCAACATGATAGTGTGTATTTTAAACTGGATGAGTTAGCCAGTTCAGGTTAATGGGTGAATGGAACTTACTACAAGTCAGGATAATGGATAGCTGAATTTTGAATGAGTTGAAGTTTATGAAGGTCAGAGGAAGGGAGGCTAGTCAGGAGACCATTAGAACAGTCCAAGTCTAGAGGTGACAAATGAATGGATGACGGTTTCAGCAGTAGGCTTGGACAGGGCAATATTTCATGTGTGAAAGTAGATGGCCTTTGTAATGTCGAGGATATGGGATTGCAAATGAGTGTTGTGAACAGTCAGATTGAACCGGAGATAATTCCTAGGGCAAGGAATGGAAATGGTGCCTAGGTAATGGGGTCATGATCATCTGATTGACTAGCAGAGCAAATTCAAGGGGCTTAATGATCTTTTCCTGTTGAAAAATAACTAGAAACAATGAACACTAATTTATTCCACAAACTTGCAAGTGTTCTTTGAAACTGAGAACTTAGTAATGGTGAATAGGGAAATGCTGTGGACGTGAAGTATGTGGAATTTCAGAAAACTTTAACAAAATACTGCTCTACAAACTACTGGAGAAGGTTAGGAGGCATAGAATTAGGGGAAGAATTAAAAACAGGTTGAAAGGAAGAAAAATGGTGGGCAAGACTAAGAGCAATTTCTCACAGGAATTGTAAGAGCACAGTGGCAGCCCACAGTGACTGGGTCCACATTGGCTTACTGTGTATTTCCATTGTATGGGATAGAGAAAGCCATGTTCAAATGTATACATGATACTAAAATAGGAGGCAAAGTAAGTAATTGAGACGGAGCTGTAAGGATATCCGAGTAGACAATGGAAGGGGCAGAGGTGACAAATGGATTTTGATGTCATTATGTGTAGGATAGTATTCCAGCAAACACAGTAAATATCCATGATGCAGTACGGCACAGTGACTGCCTAAGGGAGATATTGCACTGTGTCCCGGGAATTATTACAATATCACAATGAGTGTCCCCAGGGAGTATTATAGGGTTATAATATATCATAAGTAACAGATACTCTTTAAATTCAACAGTCTTCACTTTAATACGTCATGGAATATAGCAATAGAACAATTTGTGGCTAGAGGTGGAAACTAAAGAGACAGTATCCCTCTTTCTTCGCTTACCTAGGCTGCAGGATAAAATTCTGAAATGGTATCTCTTCAGCGATCCCATTTAGTAAGCTGCATGCTATTTTTGGTAAAAATAAACTTTGACAGAAAATCCAAAGATATGCATGGTGGCTGTGACAGAATAATGTGAATTTATCAAAGCCTTTAATGGTTACCAGAGGAATTCTGCAGCAAGACCAAAATGAGTTTTTTTTTGATATGTTCAATGAATAATGTCAAGATTTTTAGTTCTGTACAGTTCTCCAAATCCATTCCATAATACACCTGTGCAGAAAATAAACTTTGTGCACCTTGTGAGACAGAAAAGAGGCGCATGTTTGAAGCTGAATGCGCCTTCATTACTCAAAAGAATTTCAAATGACCCGATATTTTGCAAAAACTGAGATCTGAAGAGAGAACAACCAAAACCTTATTTAAGATTTCACCCTACTGTAGATTGGCCAACCGAGATACACTACTTTGCCTTGCACCTTGTATTCATGAACAAGGAGCAGATAACACAAATACTGCGTTCAGTTTTGAATGCTTTTGTCGCTTTTAGGTCAACAAAAGGGATAATGTCTCTTTAAGGAGTTTCACAGACTGCTTTTATCTCGTGTCACCAACACAAACTCCTGGTATTTCACTTACCAGTGTGTATCTTCTCATGTCTCTGTAGTAGGTACTTCTGGATAAATCGCATGCTACATTGGCTGCACTGAAATGGCTTTTCACCTAAAAGCAAAACAAAATCCAAATTTCTCCTCAGCTCACTCAAGATGCAAATGCCTAAAATTATTCTTCTCGACCTAGCATTCTAAGATACTTGACTAAGAATTGCGAATGTTGGATTTGTTTCAGAGGTGCCCTGCAAGCGACCCGAGATACTTTCTTACCATGAAGCTCCTGAGCTGAACTTAGCTCAACTGTCTTCTTTTAAAAAATATAAGCAAATAGAGAGACAATATCCCTTTTTGTTGCTCTGATAAAACTGGTCTTTAAAATCATTACTAGCAATATGAACAGCATTCACAAACATCTCCTCCCAGCTGTGAAAGATGATAATGGAAAGGCTGTTCAAATTATTCTAAAATAGGTCAGATGTAAACAACGGATGGCACCAAAAACAGGGATTAATCACTGATATTTAGTGGTCTAAAATTCTCTCTTATCAGCTGGCTCTCTATCATTGGTAACTCAAGTCAAATGTCTGCTTTACAGTTCAAGACACTCTTGCTTATATAAGAAGCCAGAGGCATAATAAGGTGCTAGTGCCTACAGATGACTTGATGGTAAGTGCCTTGGGTTGATAATGCCATACATTTAGCTTTGAAAGTTGTTGACAATGATGCAGTATTTAAGCACATAGGGATAACGTCTTTTAATTTCTCTGTACTTTTAATATTGGATTGAAATGAGAACTGTTTTAAACCCAAGGATTGCTGCATGTTTTGAAAGCAAATAACCAGAGATTCATTGTAAACACTGTTTACACAGCTGCTTGTTCCAGCAGTAGCTGAAGTGTACTTTGCAGACGAGCTGGAGCCAATGGATTGTGTACAAACGGACCCTTGGTTGGCAACAATTAACTGGTGGTCTGTGAACTAGTGACCAGTTATCAATGATGAAAGCCTTCAGCTTACTAACAAGCTACTTTAAGCCTGAAGAAAGACAGCTTCTTCTTCCTCCAGCAGTTGTTGTAAACTGTGACTTTTAATTAATGTCAGTAACCTTTCAAGTGGGGAAAGGAGCTCTTGTACATTCAGCAAACCAATGGAAACATCTGGAAAAAGACCGAGAAGCAGCATTCTGATCGGTACAAGAAGCATTTCAGAGAATCCTATGAAAAGGCTACTAAACTGCTTTCCCAGTTTTTCCTCTGTCCAGAACACCCAAACATTATTTCCTGTCTGTGCCTGTGCGTGTAAGGAGGAGCTTATATTATTATTCACTCACAGGATGAGAGCATCACTGGCTGGCATTTATTGCCCATCCCTAATTGCCCACAGGGCAGTTAAGAGTCAACACATTGCTGTGTCACATGTAGGCCAGACCTGGTAAGGATGGCAGTTTCCTTCCCTAAAGAACATTAGTGAACCAAATAGTTTTTTCCAACAATCGACAATGGATTCATGGTCATCAGAAGACTTTTAATTCCAGATTTTTATTGAATTCAAATTTCAAACCCCGGTCCCCAGAACATTACATAGGTCTCTGAATTAACATTCAATTGATAATACCACTATGCCATCGCCTCCCCTTATAAATGGACTAGAGTTTTAACTGGTAGAGTTACAGGCCAATGTTTCGTAACAGCTTGCCTGTAGTTAGAGTCTAATCATTTGTAATAAATCATCATTCTTAAGTACAACAACCTGGTCTGGGCTTTCTGTCAACCCAAGTGTAAAAGACAGGTAAATTAGGGAACTGTGCATATTTGTGACCACTCTGGGGAATAGCAGGGCTTGATTTCCAGTGCACTCAGTAAGGCACGACAAGCTATACCATCAGTGTATGCAGTGTTAAAACAAATTTTCAGAAACTAATGAAGAGTCAGTGCTTGATGCACTACCACATGTAGAATTGAGCTACTCAACCAAAGAGACCAAAATCCCTAGTTCGTGTTGAGTTTGGTTGATCACACCCACAGTAATAGCTGCAGTGCTGAAACAGACTCCACTGTTATTCCATAATAGAAACAGGGAGAGAAATAATTGGAATAATCAGCCAGGAATCCCATTCATAATCACAGCTCAAGGAAATGTGAATAGGTGAATGCAGGATCAAGTTCAACTGTGATACTGTCCAGGGTTAAATACCCAGTCAATATTCAACGTTGAGACTCACACAAAAGGGATCATTGGAAAAGGTAATGGAGGGCACACCTTGCTGCTGAAGGCTGGATCCAAGCAAAAGTCAGCAATCTTTGGGAAATGTGGAGAGGAAATTGAACAACAAAACTGAGGTCTTTAACAAGTGCCAATTACCCAGGAGATTCTGGCTATGCCGATTCAGTCCAGATGATAATCTGCAAAACCTAAAGTTAAAGTCTTTTCACTTTATTCTTCCAGTTGTAGCCTTGGAGGCTTTGATTACAAAGAAAAAGCACCACATGTCAGCTGTGCCCACCTCGCCGGCATTCTTTCATTTAAACCTGGTCACAGTGCTGAATTCACTTATGAACAAAGGCAAAAGTTAAGATAGACAAAAAAATAAAGTGGATTATAGTGGATTATGAACTGACTGAGATTGAGAGAACTGTTCCGTGGCTCAGGAGAGGGGCACCGAGCAAGGTGACAAATGGGATGCCCTGAGTGTGTGGGAGACATAAGCAGAGAACAGGAAGGTCAGGGGAGGGAGGCAGCACGTGGGAAGGACAGCAGATGAAAGTAGCGCACATACAGCAAGTGCACTCAAGTGATGCTTCTATTTTGGTTTTAGCAAATTTCCCTAATTTACAAACTGTGCAAAATTGAGCTTTAAATAGGGGATTACCTCTACTTGTAATTACAATCAGTGCACAATCAAATCCGGAAGATAAAGTTATAAATAAATAACAAAGGGATGGTAACACTAAAGTGTCCTGAATTTTTCAGTAAATTAAAACCTAAGATTTTTAGACACTGAGTTAAGGAAAAATAAACAGCTAATTTTAGTATAAAGTAGCGACACTGGCAGTACAGAAAGCAGTTGATTGGTGAGCTGCTGTTGAGCCTTTATCTAATTAGTAACTTTTATTTGTTTAACAAGCTGGGCTTCCACTTCTATGTCTGAAATAAAAGGGATAAAAATTTCAAGTTAGTTTTTAAAAATCTGATAAAGAAAATGGTTTTCAAAGTAACCAGCTGAGATATTTACCCTTAGAAATATGGACTGAATACTCAACAGGTGTCATTCAAAAACTCAATTAATGACCTCCTTCCACCCAATTAGTTTAACTTTTAATCCCACAAATATGAAACAATGCCTAATTTTAAAAAATGACTATACTCAAAAATATTATTTGACAAAAAATTTATTTCCACAGTAAATTGACTTTCATTTCCTTTATTTTGCTTGGCTTGACTCATTTAATTAGACTTCAAATTTTTACTATAATGATTTCACTAATCATTTTCTACATCCTCCGTGTAACTCTCAAAATCATCAGGATCAAAACCTACAAATACGTTTCCTTAATTTGATTCTCTGAATATTTCACCATCAGCATCAAACGGCAACAGCTGTAGTATCACTCTACGTTTTAAGTGTCACTACTTGCACTTTCAACAACCACATTTGAAGGCTGTTTGATTACAAATAAAAACAGGCATCACGTATCAGCTGTGCCCACCTCTCCAGTATTCTCTCATTTAAACCAGGTCACAGTGCTCAATCCACCTAAGAACAAAGACAAAATTTTAGTTTGTCAAAAAGGAAAGTGGATTATGAACTGGCTGAGACTGAGAGAACTGTTCCGTGGCTCAGGAGAGGGGTGGCGAGCAAGGTGACAAATGGGATGTACCTTCCTTCTCCAGCCAAAAAAGATCATTTTTTGGCAATCCAGCTCAACTGTTATATTTTCTGACTTTTTTCAATAAGTGACCATGTTGATGTGGCTCTTCCTTCCACTCTTTGTCCATAATATTCAGATACCTCTGATCTACTGCCAATATCATATTCTGGGTCTCACTCGTAACTATGAAAGTTATAGGTGCATACTTCCTCAAGAGTCTTGCTCTCCTACTTGCAGCACTTGCTCTTCTTGCTGCCTGTTGCTTTCTGTCAACTTTTTGCTTTAGTCTCTTTGTATGCCATCTGTCCCTTGCCAAGTAACAACACGTGGTATCTCAAAACATAACTTCCATTGTACAAATAAAATCAGAAAAATAATAAAATATGAACAGATTAGGGACTGAATACATTCTTTCCTGGAATGTACCATCAAGGTTAGTTAAAGCATATCTTGGTTACAATGTCAATGGGAACACCCACTGCTAGGAGGCCAAAACCAACTCCCTACCACCCGGAGGATGTACTTAAAATGTTAACTCTCCCATAACCTTCCCCTTAGTCCAAGGTACTATCCCACTAAGTTTGGTTGAGGTTGCCCAAACAACATAGACAAACATTTTGCTTTTGTTCATATTTAGATATGGATAGAAGAGAGCTATCGCAGACCTGCGCAGTGTGCATCCTGTGCCACATGGGAACTTAATCACATGTGCAGGAAGGGCAGTCAACTGCAGCAGCTTGTACTCTGGGTTTCAGCTTGAGCAGCAGCTATCATTACTGCAGCACATCTGTGAGGTGGAGTGATACATAGCTAGCATGTTTATAGATGTCAGCACCTTGCAGCTTAAGGGCATGCAAGAAGATAAGTAACGGGCGCCACCAAGCGGTCCAGAATAGACACTGTAGGAGTCGCCTCAGTATCTCATATTCCAACCAGTATTCAGTTCTGATACTGGTGAAGGCAGTGGTTCACCTGGGGTACGTAGCCTGAGCCAAGTCCATGGTAACATAGATACCCTCAAACATATTTTGCAGGGCCGGTGGGGGAGGATATTTGAAAGCAAAAGTGATAAGGGGCTTGGTAAGTGAACATACAGACACTTTTGACAGCAGATATGAATCCAGATGGTTTGTTGTCTTCCGTGTGCTAGCATGTATGAGAAGTAAGCCATTCAGTCCATCAAATCTGCTCTGCCATTCAATGACATTCTGGCTGATCTGATAATCCTCACCTCCACTTTCCTGTCTTTTCCCTATAACCCTTGATTCCCTTAC